ACAAAGAATCACTCATCATTAACACTTTTATGTAAAACATCTTTACAAAAATTATGAAAATGTGGTGCATACTTTCTCGGGCCCTTGCCGTTGTTGTTTTCCATTGGCCGGTTGCTGGAAAAAATACAAAAAAAGTGTTAACTTAGCAGTTAAGTCTTTGATGTTGGACGTGGTAATGTTGTTCATAATTTATGTTTAAAATTGTGACAAACGAAACACAAAAATCACTTACAAGAGTTCGCTTGGTGGGTACTTCGGCCTAGAAATCAAGTATCATGGAATACGGTGTTAAAGACCCAAGTAATAGTCTATATATTAATTAATCTCCAAGCAGATCTTTCGGTCGGGTGCAAAAAACTATCCATTGGCCATCCTGTATCCATTTGCCAGTATCCATTGGCCATCCTGTAGCCATTTGCCAGACATTTCCCCACCGAAGTTTCAGTACTCAGTCTTTTGCACCCCACCGAAAGATCTGCTTGGAGATTATATATAATGCCCCCACCCTGACGATATAAATTAGATAACAATTAAACTTAAACCAGAATTCAGTATGGCACTGACAGCGGTACATCTCACATGGGTGGAGGGCTGGCCTGACTAAGACAGTTTAGCTCACCAAGTACATGTACAAGTTAATCTCTTCAATATAAGGCCACACCATCTTAAATTGTTGGTTCTCGGATTTTTTCAGAGAAAATATGAAGCGACGGCGAAAAATAAAAATAAAAACAGGCCTCTAAGGCATCCTTTCATAGGCCCAAATGCTACTATAGGAGCCATGAAGTCAACATACCAGGCTGGGTTGAACTTTAAACAATTGATTTTGAACTTTTAATCAAGCCACTGCATTGATTAGCCTGGGTACCAACCAGATTTACGCTATGCAACGCTCGAAAAAAAAATTGTTGTGGAGCGAAAATCCGAATGGTACCCAGGCTATGCATTGATAGATGGAAAACTGTAACAACTAGGAAGACAAGACCCATTGAGACCGAGGACCAACGAATTAAATTGGTGTGGCCTAATGTATGCAGCCTGGTTTATCTGACTACAAGTAGACCCCACATGTACAAGCCATACTTGTATTTCAGACCCAAAACTCTCAAAGCATTTCAAGTTGCAACAACAGATCATACATTGTACTGTAGAGTCACTTTGTTACAAATTGTCTTTGGATAAAACTTTGACTGGGCTGATTTGAGAGTTGGAACTTGAACAAGGTGGATCTTACAAATAAACAGTTTCAGATAGAATTTTCTGGACCATGGCTTTGTAAAAAGTAACGTGTCATTCTACATGGTTAAAAAAAACAATGGGGAAATATATTTGAATCTTTTGAAAACTGATCAGTATGCAACTCTGCCCCTGTTTCTTATACTTATATAGACTGTCTAGGATTTTTTATGAGTGTATGGGGTCAACTAATGGTAAGGTCACCGAAAGCCCTCCGATCCGAACGTTCCCGACGGCGAAACCGAACATTCCCGAGTATTATAATCCAAGATGGCCGCTCGGTTTGTTTGGATCGGATACATAAGCGATTCTAACAGCAACAAAGGTCGCGCTGTGCATCTGATCTGGACATGCGAATCCGGCCAATTGTGAGGTAAGACTTCAGGGAAGCTAGGGACACACACGCACACAAAATGAAAAAAAAAAGCGACGAAAAGGAATCATCGCGTAGCAAACGTGTTCATTATGTTAAGAGCCCAGATCCTACCGCTAGACATATGTGACAACGTGAAAAATCGTGACAAATGAAACAGAAAAGAAATTACTTACAAAGGGGGATGGTCAATGGTATCCTGCGGCTTCCTAGAAATGGATAGGGATATGTTTACTGACTTAACTCCAAATCGTACTTGGCCTAAAAAATTATCACGGTCTGCATCATTACCTTGTTTATTTACGAAGAATATAAATGCAAATATATCATTACACAATCGACATGTATGATCATGTATTTGCCTTTGCTATTTGGCAAACTACTTACGGTTTGGGAACTTCAACTTTGGGCGCTGGTTTTTGCTTCGCTGGATCTTCATCGCCACTACAAAACAAGTATACAATATATGAAATGAAATGAAGTACACGTGTGTATATCCCTGTGTATATCAAGGAGGTTAAATACAAGATAACGTTACAGGGCTCGAGCCAGCTCAAAATATTTTTTTCCGATAGCCCAAGGTCATGATTGGATCTCTGGTCTGGGTGGGAGCAACGACGACCTTCCTACCAGTCTGGCCATCTGGTTGGAAACTTAGTTTAAATCTCTGCTTATTTCTAAATCACCTTAAAGAAATTGGCATGCACAAGGCTGAGAAAAAAAAGTGAGTGAGAAAAAATTGACAGTTTATCTCAGGGGAGTTGGCCCGCGCTATTTATGAGAGAATGGCAACATACAATGGCTACGATGAAATGCTTTATCAGATGATTCATCATAATTATCTCTGTAATAAAGTTAACTAAAAAATATATGTTCCCTTGCATCCCGGCATTTAGTTTCGTTGACGTCATAATAAGCTCCCAAAAAATCCTACCTGTTGAGTGCAAGCTCCATCTCTTCAAGTTCCTTGTCCATGTCGTAGTCTTCCGGGCCAGATTTACCACGACCCTTTACCACGTCCGCCCAGCTCTGTGGCAGTGCCATCTTTTGATTCAAGTTAGGCCCAATATGTTCCCGCCAAACATTCAAAATTTCTTCATTACCGCGCTCTGATTGGTTAAGAACTGTCACATGTATCGACTTTCACCCCTGATTGGTACAAAGCTGTTACGTGTTTGTGAATGTTCAACCTTATAATATGCAAATGTTGTCTCTTAAACGACGCCGTGATAGCTTAATAACTGTCACGTGTATGAATGTTCAACTTTATAATATGCAAATTGTTGTCTCTTAAACGACGCGCTGATTGGTTAATAGCTGTCATGAAAGTTCAACCGACTCTGTGCAAGCAGCTGGCTGCTCTGCTAACTTATTTACAGATAGTCCTCTGTATTTATATGGGTTCTTTACCTCTAATGGCCGCAGGTCGCAGCAGGTGCACTGCACCATGGCGTCTGGTGTAGCAGCAAGACTAGGTAGTGAATTACAGAGCACTACTACACACTTCTTTTTTGCCATATTCTTATGACTGCGTCGATTTGTCTTCAAGAACCTCTTAATCACATTACCTTCATTTGACCTTCCCCACTGAATTGCTGGAGAGAACATTGCAGCTGGGGAGTAGCACATAA